AAAAAAAAAAAAAAAAAAAAAAAAAAAAAGAATAAAATAAATGTAAGATTCAACTGGCAAATACTGAACAAATGTTTATATTCCCACTTTTATATTAAACACAAAGGTATGCAACATAGGTGGACTTAGTGACTTTTGTTTTCAACTAGTCTGCATTTTTTTGGACTAGATAAAAAATGTAAAATTGTAGCCAAGAGTCCATGCCTGCAATCCCAGCACTCAGGGAGGCAGAAGGAGCGGTATCACAAGTTCCAGTCCTACCTGAGTTCTAGATCCCAACTCAAAATAAAAAATAAACGGGACAAGGGATGTGGCTCAGTGGTATAGTGCCCCTGGGTTTAAATTTCAGTTTCCTCCTCCCCCAAAAAGTAAAATTGAAAACAGTGTTCAACACAAGAATGAAGAAAAAAATCCAAAATTGGCCATTAAAGTACATTTTAATGATCAGGATCTGAGCTAGGTAATTAGAGTAAAAATAAAGAGCAAGTACAAATGCAAATGAATAATTACTAAGACCTAAGTATTTGGATGTGGAAGACAGGAATTAAAGGATAACATACATATTTTTAAGCAAGAGACTGAGGAATGATGTCACTGGCAAAAATGGGAAACTGAAAAAAGAAATTTTCCTATTGCTGAACTGCTACTAAATACACAAAACTACAGTCGCTGAAAATGTCTTAAAAAGCTGAATGCCATTTCATTAATTACTTACGTCATAGATGATTCATACTCTGAGACAGTTATCTTCATCTGCGCAATAGCTTTTTCCTATAGAAATTATAAAAACATATAAGATTCTAAGCCATTCATACAGAAGTATCTTTAGCTAAATTTGTATAATTTACCACATTTGTATCGTTAAGTAATTATTCAGTTCTATAAATTATGCATGAAAGAAAGATCCAAGTAAACGTATCTCCAACTCCCGTTTATCTTTCATATACTGGCATGTTTCTATCCAGCTAAGAATCTGAATGGTTTTTTTGGAGTGTGCTTTAAGAAGATCTGATAAAATCAACTTCTAGAATTAGATAATGTTCTTCTTTAAGATTCAAATTATTGAGATAAAAAGAAACTTAAACTTATTGGAAGACATGGCCCTGGGTCTGAGGAACTTATACAGGGGTGGTAAGAACTGCGTATTGAAACAGAATAAAACCATTTTTTGACACTGAAAACAATATTTAACAATCACATACTTTACTAGCTAGGATTTCTTGCAAGTTTGCAATCTTTTCTGTCTTCTCATCCACAGTCTCCTGGAGGAAGTCTTTCTCTTTATCAATAACACCAATAGTCTTTTTCATTGCATGAGCCTCTTCATTCTGTGAAGTCATCTTAAGGTTTAGCTCATCTGTAAATGAAAAAAAATGTTTGTTAGGCAAAGTAAATTTGTATTAGCAGAAACTAAATTAAAAAAACACTTACCTATTTTTTCCTCCAGTATTTTAATTTGTTCCTGGGCAGATTCAAGTTCACCTCTTTTTATGGACAGTCGATGCTGGTAATCATCGAGAGATCGCTGTAGCTGCTCATTTACTACCCTAAAGGTCAGAGGACAGAAACAAATGGTATTTTTTATCTCTCAGAGAAATAATTATTAAAAATAAGATGTCCTAAAAATATTTTTATTTTTAAGTTTGTTTTATTATTTACTTATTTATTTTTGATACCAGGGATCAAACTTGGGACCTTGCACTTACAAGGCAGGTGATGGCACCACTCAGCTAAATCCCCGGCCCTCTTTTATTTATTTTAAAGCACATCCAATATAATCATTGGCATTATATTATGTATTACATCATGCTCTCCACCATTTTCCCAAATGGTTCCATCTTCCTAAAAATAATGTGGTATAAAATTTGAATACATATTCTTTTCTGAAGGTTTCTTGGTAGTTTTAAGCTCCTATCAGTTTCCTAGTATCAACCCCTTTCCTTTAAAATGTATTTCTAACAGTGGAGACAAAGGAAAGTCCTATTCTTACAGCAGAGCCTAGTATTTCAAAGAACATAAATCCTAACCCCATTTTGTTTCTTATTCTGACTTTTTGAATAGTTGGTCAACTAGAGTTCATGGCAGAGAAGGCAGGCATTTCTCGCAGTGCAATGGTGAATTAAGATTAAAGACTGACTTTAGGGAACTAAAGAAAGGATTTATGGAAGCCTAGGCAGTCAACAGTGAAGACAATTTCAGAGGAGTTGGTCACTGATCAGTAAGATTATCTGTCTCTGAAAGCTGTAACACCAAGCATTTGCTCTCATGTCATGTCATCAAGAATATCTGTACTGGGGGTTCTCATTCTGCGTGATTGAAGAAACAGGGTTCTCACTCCAGGATATTTGCTGGGTTTCTTGTAGGTTTCCTTTGTGGATAAGACAGGGAAGAAGACACTAAGGGTAGCTTAGCTTAGCATTCCTAATGGGGAGGAGACTTGGATTCCAACCCACAAGTAAAATAGAACATTTCTATTGAAATAAAGAAGCTTTACAGGCAAAACTGAGGTATTTCTGACTATTCTAATAGCAAGTGAATAATGATCCAGAGGTAGGGATGAGAGTCCAACTGTGACTAGCTTCTTTAGAACTACACAACCAAACCAAATCATGTCAGAAACACTAGGTTCAAGCAATATTACTTCATAAAATTCTCTGTGAGGTCCAGGTGACTATTATATTTAAGCTGTTCTTGAAAGCTAGAGCTACTGTCTTGTGGAATGTAAAAACACAGTGGTACTGTAAATGTGTTAGCTCATTTATTATTAAGAGTTCCATAATTAGAACTATTAACCCAATTTTACACAAAAACTAATAACTTGTCCAAAGTCATAGCTAATAAAGGCAAAGAAAAGATGAAAATGTTCTACTATATCAGATTCCTCTCTACACACTATATGGGGAAACCAACATTCTCTGTGGGGAAAATGTCTGTCAAGAAGCTATAGATTCCTTCCAAAAATGGAATGTCCCACACAGTACTTAGCTGATACTGAGTAGCAGGCAGCGCCTGAAATTCTAGGTGGAAATTTAATGATCTCTTTACTCATAACTTCATACACAGAGTAATTTTCTGATGAGAGTTGATAAAGGAAGGCAGAATAACATCTTGATTTATATTCATAAAGGAAGCCCATAGATGAGTCCTAAACCTAACTTTGCCTTTTTATATTTAAGCAAAGAAAGGAAAAGGAACAACAGAGCTTGTGCATCAGACCTTGGAAGTAACATTTCTGACTGATATTATCTGTGATGGCTAATTTTTTTTGTTTGTTTTTTTGAGATAGGATTTTTGTATCTAACTCAGACTGACCTTGAGCTCACAATCTTCCTGCCTTGGCCTCCTGAATGCTGGGATTACATCAGCTGCTCTCAGCTTGTGATGGTTAAACTGGATTGTCACTTTGGTTGGTTTTAGAGACCCAAGGAGATTAGTAAAGGACATTTCTAGGTGCGTCTTATCGGGTCATGATGCCATCCTTAGGGACAACATTTGGTCCAAGTTCCCTTCTCTTAGGCTCTTCCCCTGCTCTCTACTTTCGGGTTGCTGAGATGTTTCTACTCTGGAGCCAGCCAACCAGGGACTGTTATCTCTGAGACTTTGAGCCAGTCCTTTATGTAGATCACATATTTTGTCCCAGTAAGAAATAGCTAACACAGTATTGTTACTAAGATAAAGGTTGTCTTCTATCTTCTCTCTTTTCAGTACTGGGGATGGAACCCAGAGGCTCTTTCCCACTAAGTTACATCACAGCCATTTTTACTTTTTATTATTATTACTATTATTGTTGTTGTTATTATTAGCATTGAACCCAGGGCCTTCATAACAATCTTCCCAGCCCATTTTTATGCTTTTACTTTTGAGATAGGATCCCACTAAGTGCCTACGTTGTCCAGGCTGGCCTCAAACTTATGAGGCCTTCCAAAGTGCTAGGATTATAAGTGTGTGGTACATGCTTGTCTTAACTTTTTATTTTGAGACAGGGACTTGTTAGGTAGCCAGGTGGGGCTCAAATTTGAAATCCTCCTGCCTGAGCCTCCTTCAGTGCTGGGACTATAGATGTGGTCACAGCTTCCAGATTAATAAAGGTGTTCTGAATAAAGAACTGGGGTGGAAATCTCATAAGGAAGAATAGTTGAGTAACAGCCTTATTATTTATTCATAATTGTGTTTAGAAATGAAATTTTGAGAACTAAGTTGTTAGGAAAATGTGAATATGTTTCTTAGCTTCAAAAGTACTATAAAAGAAGTAATGACTTCCTACTAGAGTGAAGCAGTAATAGTGATCTTGGGTTAAGTTCTAGCTCTCCACCCAAGAGACACGTGATGGGTTATGTTCATCCGTGAGACTCAAATTCCTTGGGTATATTACATTACATGGTATTATACACATTTTCATTGCAGTAGACAACAGTATTTCCTTTCATGATAGGATATATTTTAAACGAAGACAGCTATAACGGTCCTTTATTCATAAGAAGTGTCCATAGAAGCTCCCTCTAATAGAGGTAGGCCTGTAATAGTAATGGGCTAATAGAAGAAAAAGATGCTAATGTGGAGTCTCTTTTATTTTAGATTTCTCCCAAGAGCCTATGGCTATAGCCCAGCACTAACTGAGCCACACTATTAATAAATAGCATCTCTTGGTATGCAAAGAGGGAAAAGAAATTTTTATTGGTTTTTCTTTTAGGTTTCTGCAAGGGGATGGTGCCCTAATTCACTTGGTCCTTTAAATTCTATCTCCAGGTCAGGTCAGATATCCTAACTCAGTACCCTGACTTTTCCTCCTGCTTTGGTAGGAAAATAAAATGTTAGGAATGCCGAAAAGACATCTTTTAGGCATCCTAGATAATCTGTAAGCCTTATTTCCTTATCTAAAATAATTTTTAATCCCTTTAACAAATACTTCTGAAAGGAGGTCAGTTCCGACAAGAGTTTATGGGTCATTTCCAGGAAAATCTGCTGTAGTACTTCTTTATCCTAAATAAGTATATAACTTTTTGGTATCAACTGACGTACAAAGATAAAGACTAAGGTAAACTGAGACAGTATGACAAATTTTATACTCTCTACTACAGGAATCTCAATTGTTTAGTCTCACAGCTAGCAGCTGTGAGGATCAAGAATCTTAGGGGTTAACTGAGAAAAGTGGGTTATCTAACTGGGCTGGAAACAATTTATCCTTAAGTAGAAGTGGACAAACCACAGCAGACTGATTATTTTTGCTAGTTCTAAGAAATACAAATAAATGATTGTTACATGTTTAAGTGATTAAAAATATGTTTCCAATCAAAAATTGTTAATTTGTGACATAATAAAATTATGTGAAGTCCAAGATTCAAAGTCCACGAATAAAGTCATACTAAAACACAACCACACTGTTTCATGTATATATTTTCCACAGCTAACTTTGAGATACAAAGGCAGGATTATATAGGTGTGACAGAAACTGTATGGCCCACATAGTTTTAAAATACTGACAGACAGTTCATAGAAAGTTTATTGACCCTGGCTCTAGAGTGGCTAACATGCTCTGAGGAGCAAGAAGGCATCTTTCCTGTATACAAAGACACTCTTCTGCTGCACTGCGGAGTTTAGATTTGGGGTATAAAATCCCAGATCTCATTAAATCCTACAATTCAAGGAAGACCACAGTCATTTAACTTTAAAAAGTTGCAGGGGTTTTATATTAAGCCTCTGATGCAACATTAAGGGACTGGACCAAAGGCTCTCTACCTCAACAATTAGATACTATGCCTGGTATAGAAAAGCCTCTTTGGCGGTACTGCAATTTGGTGAAAAAACACCCAATGCAGGAAGGAAAGAAGAAGGTCCACGAGGTAGATGGAAAGGAACATGTGCCTCATCTACCTGAGAATCAACTTCTCAAATGTGTTTGCATAAAGGAAAAGAGAACTAATGTGATAAAAGGAGTAGCAAGAGTTCTATCAACCATCCCAAAAGTGGTACAAGCTTGGATAAGGTACTGTGCGTCCACAGAGGTCTGGGTATTATGGTTTGTACTGGATCCGCTTTAGATTTAGAACAAGGTAAGTCATTTTTCTGTCAGAGCAAAACAGTTATGAAATCATGCAATAGGCACAAGTTATAAAGGACAGAACGATTCTCACAATCTTTTATAGCATAGTGACTGATGACTCCTGGGTGAGGGAGAGGCGAACTGGGCTCATGAGAGAAAAGGATATTAGCATAAGGAGAAAAACCAAGGAAAGGAAACAGGTATTGCAGCTATATTCTGAAGAAGAAGCAAAATGGATTAAGTGCCAGATCTAGTCAGCTGGATACAGAAATAAAAAAGGATAGATTAGTAAATTATTTTTCTTTACAGTACTGGGGATTGGTCCCAGGGCCTCATGCACGATAGGCAAAGGCAGTAGCACTGGCCACATCCCCAGCTCTCTGTATTTTTTGAAATAGGGTCTTGCTAAGTTCCCCAGGTTGCCTTTGAAGTTGTGATCCTCCTGCCTGATCTCCTAAATCACTGGGATTCCTGGGTGTACCACCACACCTGGCCAGATTAGTAATTCCGAGATGAAGGCACACTGTGATAGCTTTACTTTGAAGCTGAATAGAGACATGATCAGAAGAGTAGGGGTTGGCCGTCTCAGGTCGTCTTCACAGAATATATGTGGTGCTTGCAGAGAGATGAGGGTGGTAGCAGGCAGCGGGGACAGGGGAGGGGAGCAGAGCAGAGGGGCAGCATCTATTTCAGTTCTCCCTAAAGTCTATCTTATAAAGACAACACAAGAGTGACACTAAAGATGCCTTATATGAGTCCCAAATATAATATTCCTTAATTGACCACAGAAACCAGTGCTTCACCTTATTGCTTTATGCTTTTTGATAAGTAGGTAACAACGAACTGCAGTCTGGGGCTTTTCTTCTCCTCATTATTCCTTTGATTCTCACTTTTGCTGCATTTATTTTACTATATACTTCTGTGATTGTTAGTTTTTGTATATTGAACATGTGTCTTTTTTTCTCATTATTCCTTTTTGTCCTTCTGACTTCTAGGAAATTTCTTGAGTTTGTTTTTGATTTCACAAACTCAGTTTTCTGCAACAGCCAATCAAATCCACTGTTCAAAAACCCTTCAGTTTTTAATGTCAATTTCTTTTAAAATTATCACTATTACAATCCTTTCTGAGTGCTTCAATCTTTAGTTATAATACCGTGTTGGCATTTGAAAGTCTTTTCCTGATTTTACTGTAAATGTAATTTAGAGATTTCCTCTGACTCTTCAGCATAGTGCTTTTCTGCTGACCTTTGGTATCTTTTCATTTACAGCAGCTGTGTAATCCAGAAAAAAAAACTAACTTTGTTGGCTTTTTGTTTCCATGAGTCTTCTATATTCAAAAAGTTAATGGTGAAACAACAACTTAGTACCTTAAGGCAGTATTATACATAAAAATATATAAATCAGTCAAGACTTTTGGTTTAATGTAAGAAGTATTTCTTCAATCAGAATACTGAAGAAGAACTGCTGCCCAATTTCATTGCTACCATTTTCAGTTTAGATCTTTGGACTCCACTGTTTGCTTATCAGCCTCTAAGACCACAAATTCATGGCCCACATTTCCATCAAACTTAAGCTTCCTAGAGGGTACGCTACTCATTGACCCTCTTTCATTAAATTTTTTTGTTTCTAGGCTTGAGATGTAGCTCAGTGGTACAGTGCTTGCCTAGCATGCTCAAGACCCTGGGTTCAAGTTCTAGCACCACAAAGGATTTACAAAAAGATTTACTCTGCAAATTAGAACATCAAAGATCTGCCCCTAAGTCCTTATTTTTCAAAAGCTCTCAGGTGATTCTGCTGAGATCAAAGGTACAACTTAAACTCCATGGACATCAACCTTACATACCTAGAAACATTTTCCTAGAAGTGAAATAACAAAAATTTCAATAAACTTACCTAAGGGAGTTCATCTCTGTTTTTTGATGGGATGAGTCACCAGCCACATGGCTTAGCTTTTGAGCTTGGAGTTTTGATTTGTTCTCTAGTGACTCTATTGTTTCTTTCATTATTAACACTTTAGATTGTAATTCGTATTTTTCACTTTCAAGCTATAATTTAAATTTAAAAAATTAACAGGCATACTTTTAGGGTCTTAATTTTATTCTTCATAAGCATTTTTTAATAATATTTCTGGAAAAAAGAAATTAGATTTATTTTTTAAACTTAAGCGTCAGGTTCAAGATGTCAGAATGGGCATACCCATTTACTTCTCTTCCCATCACTAAAATGAAATAAAAGATACAAACAAAAATAGAAAAAGAAAAAATAAATAAACCCATGACAGCAACAGAAACAGGAAGCAATACAACTAGTCAAGTGAAAATTTTGAACACTTAAAAACAAAAACATGAAGTTGATTCAAATAAATTAAGGAAAAACCAGAGCAGAAAATGTAAATCAAACCACTACCCTGAATCTTATATTTGTTTTCTTGCTTTTCCTTGTTTTAGTTTTGTTTTTATTTTTAGTTTTGGTACTGGAGATTGAACTCAGGACTTTGTGCTTGTGAGGCAGGAGGCAGAACCACTGAGCTAAATCCCCGGCCCCATGCTTGTTTTATTTTGAGGCAGAGTCTCATGCTGCCCAGGCTGGCCTCACACTAGTGTCCAAAGTGACCCCCTGCCTCAGGCTCCCAAGCAGTAGGACAGGCATGTGCCACGGTGCTCAGCTTCTTGCTTTTCATTGGTATAATCACATTAATACGAATCCTTCAACATACACTGCTTAGCTTTTCATGTTTTTGAATTTTAAACATGTGGTATCATCCTGCATACTTTCTGCAGCAACTCTTCTGATGTAACATAATATTTCTAAGATTAGCACACGTCGATGTTAGAAGTTACTGTTCATTAATTTTTGCTGCTCTGTAACACTGCTCTACATTTTTGCTGCTCTATAATAAATGTATGAATTACATTCATTTATCCATTTTCCACGCAATTTTTTTTTTTAATTCTACCAGGAACCAAATATTTCAGGCTTGTGAACCCTATAGTTTGTCACTGGACCTTCACCGACATGCAAAAGCAGCCACAGACAATAGAGAAATAAATGAGCAAATTCAATTTACAAAAACAGATTGGAGGCTCAATTGGCTTGAGGGTCGTACCTGCTGACCTGCTCTGGGTACATATCTAGAAATGGAACTGTTGGCTCATGGGGTATGTATGCCTTTGCTAGATAATGCCAAATTATTCTACAAAGAAGTACACTTACTAGTTCCTTGTAAATTCTGATGACCTGATGGGTATAAAATGATTGCACTGAAGTTTTACTTTGTATTTCCCCTATATTGAGGTAAAATATCTTTTTATATTTATTAGTAATTCATTACTTCTTTTTCCAGAAGTGTCTATTAGTATCTGTTAAATTAGGGAAGGAGAAATGAAAGTATAGCAAGTTGCCATCTCAATTAGTGGTATGTCTTTTCAATTTATGGTTATTAGGTAAACAAACATGTTTTTGTCAATATCCTATTTATCTATGTTTCCTTTCAAGGAATAAATTTGTGTTACTAGCATACATTTTGGCACCAGATACTTGCAGCTATGTCATCTTGGGGAAGTTTCCTTTGTGCCTCAGTTTACTTGACTGTTAAATGAGGATAATATCAGCATTTACTTCATATGATTGCTTGATATTTCATATGGCTGAGAATTAAAATTATATGTACAAAATATTGATAAAAGTGCCTGATACATAGTAAATGCTCTTATTATTTCTCCAAGGTTGAGAAGATTTTCTCTTGTATTTCTTTATCAATGTATTTTGAACACTCAAGGCTGAAAATAATCTCGAAATGATTTGAAGGTATGGTATATTTGAAGTCAGATCCAATTTTTTTGTCTTTTTTTAAAATGTAAGTAGCCATTTTCCCAGAAACAATTACTGGGGACTCTGGTTTCCTCATCAATTTGAGGTTCTGTTTGTATGTGTTACAGTACTAGGGACTGAATCCAGGGCCTTGAGCCTGCTAGATAAGCACTCTACCGTTATTACATTCCCAGCCCAATCTTGTATACACCAGCTTTCCTTATATTTGCGGGTCTGCTTTTTCCTTGGTTTTATTGGTCTTCATTATTCCTCATCTTAACTATAATGAGCCAAAGCCCTCAAATGTGGTAGGGTAAGTCTAGCAGTACATTTTCTTTAAGACTTCTATATGATTCTTGGCTTTTTGTTTCCATGTATATTTTAGAATTTACTGTCAATTTTCATAACACACACACACACACACACACACACCCCTTGGGATTTCAGCTGGAATTCTATCAACTCTAGAGAGTAATCTGGAGAGAATTTATTTTTATAAACACTGTATCTAACTTTTTTAATAAACTTGAAGCATCGCTCCATTTAATTAGGTCTTCTTTAATTTATTTTAATGAGATCACATAATGTTTTCTGTAAAGAGCCTGCAAATTTACCTGGAGATAACTTGTATTTTTTAAAGTATGCATTTTTATTTATTATGATTGGGATTTATCATTCTTCTGGAATTCACTGTGCTTTTTGAAAATCAGTGCTTCTGTGTTTTCATACTGTCTAAAAAATAATCAGTCATTATTTCTCCAAACACTGTCTCTCCACATATTTAATTATACAGTCCTCAAATTGTGTAACATAAATTCATATTTGACCACATATAGACTTGATCTTCTTACTCTACTCCTATTTCTTTCCAGTAACATGCACCTCTTTCTTTAGATTTACATTCCAGTTTATTCTAGCTTTCAGCTTCTGATCAAGCTGGAGTGATAGGGATAATTTACTCTCCTGCCTAAAATAACTAAAAAAGTTAGACTAAATACAGGAAACAGTGGTTTTTAAGACACAAGGCAAAAGATAATGATAAACAGACACCCCTGAGATGGGACGCAAATGAGACAAGCTTTATGAGTGCTCCAGTGAGTTGCCTGGAGAATTTTCAGACTGGGGCACAGGAAAAGGAATCTGGATGAAGACTGGTGGTCACTCTAAGTTCAAAAGGCAGGAATGAGAGACAAGAAATTGAAAAGAAGATACTGGAAAAGAGCTGCAGAGGGAAAGCTCAAAAGATCTATACAGATAATTATCCCTTAAAATTCCAGGCCAGGCGTGGTGGCACACACCTGTAATCCCAGCACTCAGAAGGCTAACGCAGGAGGATCATTGTGAGTTGAAGACCAGCCTGGGCTACATAGTGAGTTCCAGATCAGTCTCAACTACATAGTGAGACCCTGTCTCAAAAACAAACAAACAAACACAAAAAAGATTCCAGTTGAGCAGAGCTCAGCACAGAGAACTAAGCAACCAAGGCCAGGGAAAGAACCATCGGGAAGGAAAAGGAACAATATTCAAGGCTCATGTAGGGCCAGGAATAGTTCCTGTTCCCACCTGTCATTCGGAAATCTTAACCATTTTCAACAGACAAGAGTTAGCCTACAGAAAAGGGTTTTACCTAAGGAGTAACACAAAATTAGTTCAAAACTATATGTTACTTTGGTTCCACCTAATGAAGCTTAAAAGCAAGACTAAAAAAAGAGCAGGCCACTTTCCATATTATGTAACTGCATCCCAGAACAAATTTCAAGGGTATTCATGAGAATACACACTAGTTATCAACAGGATAAAATTTACAGTGCCTGGACTACAATCTGTAATTATCAGGCATGAAAAAAAAGGAAACTATAACCCATTATGGGGAGAAAAATCAAAAGACCCAGAGGACAGAATTAGAAGGTAAATAAATAAAAGTAGTGACAACATAGTGATACAAAGTTACCAAAACAAAACAGCAAAAAGACTGTCAGAAAGCACTCCGAATTATTAAAAATCTTAGACAGAGTACAGTTAGCCCTCTCTGTCCACAGGTTCCACATTCACAGATTCATCAACTGTCTAGTTAGAGTCAGACCTATGATAGTTACATTTGTACTGAACATGCACAGAATTTTTTTCTTATAACTATTCCCTAAGCAAGACAACTATTTATAAAGTACTGATGGTGTGTTAGGGTTTATAAGCAATCTACAGACGATTTAAAGTACAGGAGGATATGCATAGGTTATATGCAAATACTATGCCATTTTATACAAGGGTCTTTCACATCCTAGGATTCTGGTAGCTAAGGGCTTTCTGGAACCAATCCTCTATGGATACTGTCGAGGGGGACAGTAACAAAAATGACAGTGAATTTTTGTATATTATGCAATTAAAAAAAAAAAAAACAAAATAATCACTGAGTGTTTAGAATATGCCAGGTGCTCTTTCTTCTAAGTTCTTTATGTGTATTATTCACCTGTTTAATGTTCACAAAAACCCTAAGCAGCACTACTTCTACTTTGTAAAGAAAGTGAGGGTCAGAACGGTCAAGTAGCTTGCCTGTAGGTGTAACAGGAGACAGAGATGGATCTGAACCTAAGTAATCAGCTTACGAAGTACATACTCCTATTCACTTTTATATAATTTCACTTAACATATTACTTTGTAATTAAAAAACCAGTGTATTAAAGATAAAATTGACATTCACATAATGCCATACCCTAAAACAAGTCTGATCATACCTGATGATTAACACATGTCAAATGTTCAATAGTTTTCTCTAATTCTGATTGGCCCAAAGCACTCATTTCCTGGATATTCTGAAAGAGAATTTAATAGAAAATACTTTTTAAATCAGATAATAAAGCAAAAAATATCAAATTAAGCAATACAAGTTTAGACTATTATCTTATTTGTCTTTTCACAAAACACAGAAATGTTTTAGAAAGGAAATCATTAAACATTTCATAAAAACAGTGCTTTTGGTATAAAAGAAAACACAACAAGTTCTCATTTTTACATTCTCTAGCTCCACGTGTGGCTATATAGCACAGGGCATATATTGGTACGGATTCATTAATAAAGGCTTATATAGCTCAATCCATAGTAGCAAAACTATATAAAGGAAAAAAATAAGCAGGCTAAGCAACAAACTCTAAGTATGCCCTCAGAAGAGATGTTAAGAAAACAAACAAACAAACAAACAGTACAAGAATGGAAATTTAAGATCAGGAAGACATAGGAAATAGAACCCTACACGATCATGTAAGAGATCAGAGCTTCAATATGGGCTAGTCATTTTGTTCACTCATCCCCCCCCCTTTTCTCAGTGCTTGGGATTGCACCAGGACTAATAGTCATTTTGTTCACTCATCCCCCCCCCTTTTTCTCAGTGCTGGGGATTGAACTCAGGGACTCACACATACTAGGCAAGTGCTCTACTACTCAGTTAAGCTCACTTGCCCCCACTTTTTACAAAATATTTTTCAGAGAAATTCTCACTAAGTTGCTGGACCAGCTTCAGACTTTCAATCTTCCTGCCTCAGACTCCCCAGCAACTGGGAGGATCACTGTGCTGTAGTTGTTTTATTTAATCATTTATTGTTTATTAAATCATTCAGCCAGTATTAACTGAATATATACTCTATACAAAGTATCTAGTGAAGTGCTACAGATACAGCTGACAGTCTCTGACTTCCTAGGTATTAGAGGCTGGTAGAAAAAAAACAGACTTTAAAGAACAGACTCAAAACAAAATTCAGGAATATTTTTCTAGGAGAAGGATTTATGCTCATGTATAAAGAGCAATCTAGAGTCTAAGGTTAATTTCCTGTCAGAAAATGGTGTTTAATCTGGACTTAAAGGACGAATTAGTTAGATAAGGGTATTTCAGGGGATGAAAGAATCTTTCAACAACTGTAGAAAGGCTACATACAAAAAAAAAAGTCCATTAAGCTTGAAGCCTTGAGAAAAAGGGGTATAGGGAGGGTGGAGAATAGAAGTAAATTTATGGAAAAGAAGTAATCGCTAAAGTCCTTGAAAATAGTTAATGGATTTTAAATACAAAGTGATGGGACTGGATTTGTATCTTTGACAGATGACTGTAACTTCAGTGTTAAATGTAAGTCTGAGATGAGCAAAATGAAGTTCAGAAGCCTCTAGGACAATAATACAGGTGAGAGAGAACAATGACCGAAGAGAATTACCAAGAGAATACAACGACATAAACCAACTTAGAGAAAATAACAAACTCGGGAGCCAGATTCCTGTGACCCCTCGCTCTGCGGTCAGGCAAGTTATTTAAACTCAGGGTGACTCGAGAGACCTCATCTATAAGCAGGACCTAACAAACAGACGACTTTTATGAAGATTTACTGAGATAGCTCATGTAAAAAAAACTCAGAACCTCTCACATCAAAAAGGTTTAATAAATGTTCGGTATTTTTTAAGAGGCAGCACTGATAGGACCTGATTATTAATTAAGAGAAAATTTTTCAGGGAGAGTACAGTAGTACTGTCTAAACATGAAGAGGAAGCTTAATGATCCAAGTGAACAATGCAGTTTTAAAGTAAAAGACCTTTTATAAACTCACAAAATCCTGTTGCCAGAAGGATTCTGGTGATTTGATTATCGCCCCTTCCAAGTTTTCAGTGATATCACATTTTAAAATTCTATTTTTACATTCCTTGGTCATTTTAACAGATAAGAAAAAGGGTAAGTCAGGAGATCATGCCAAAAGCTGCCATATTGCACAGAGTTTTCCATTTGGCAATTTTAACACCCTTTTTTAAAAAATCAGAAACACTCTCTGGAAGGCAGTATTCCAAAAGATTCTAATTAAAAACATTCTCACACTGTATTTTGGGGGTAAAACTTTAACTGAAAATTTGTGACATAAAGACTATCCTTAAAATGCTTGGTTATTTTATTTCTAATTTTAGCTCCTCCCTCTCTCCTTTCTGTGGTGTCAAGGATTACACTCAGAGCCTCTACAAGCTAGGCAAGCACTCTAATCACTAAACTAGTTCCCCAGCCCTTTTATGTTTTTTATTTTGAAACAAGGGCTCATTAATTTGCCCAGGCTGGCCTTGAACTTGTGATACTCCTACCTCTCTGCTTCCAGAATAGCTGGAATTACAAGTATGCATCATCACACCCAACTGCTGGCTGATACTTTCAAATGCAGAAGTGACAAAAGAAAAAAGTAGACTTTATTTGAATTAAAAACTTTTGTGGGCCGGGGATTTAGTTCAGTGGTTCTGCAGCCTGCCTCACAAGCACAAAGACTGGAGTTCAATCCACGGTACCAAAAAAACACTTTTGTGCTTCAAAGATACCATTAAGAAAGTAAAAGGATGACCTACAGAATGGGGAGAAGTATTTGCAAATCACATATCTGATAAGGGGTTGATCATATCAAGAATATATAAAGAACTCTTATAACTCAATAGTAATAAAATAATCCAATATAAAAATGGACAAAAGATCTGAATTTCTTGACACATGAAAAGATGCTCAACATCATTAAGTATTGGGGAGATGCACTCAAAACTAAAAAGAACATTTTACATCTGCCAGAATATATATGACTGAAAAAAGCAGATAATAACAAGTACTGGTGAGGGTGTAGAAAAATTAGAAACATTATTCAGGACTGGAGGGAACATAAAATGGTATGGCCAAATGTGGAAAACAGCCTGGCCTCAGTGGAAGACAGACTTGGGATATGATCCAGAGAGTTGCCAGGTATCTACCTAAGAGAAATTAAAACATCCACACAAAAATTGTACATAAGGAGCCAGGTGTGGTGGCGCACACCTATACCAAATAAAAAGAGAAGACCCTAACAAAAAAAAAAAAAAAAAAAAAAAAAGCTGTACATAAACATTCAAACCAACATTCCTTATGAATGAACCTTGAAAACTTTATAATAGTGAGAGAAGCCAGACATAAAAATCACATATTTGGGCTGGGGAATTAGCTCTGGGATACAGGGCTTGCCTCTGATGCCCTGGCTCTTCAATCCCCAGCGTGTGTGTATGTGTATGTGTGTGTGTGTGTGTGTGTGTGTGTGTGTGCATGTGGAACACTCATTTTTACATGAAATGTCCAAGGCAGGCACATGCACAAAACAGAAAATGGATTAGTGGTTGCCTGCAGTGAGGAGACCTAGGGGAAACAGGATGTGATACTAACTGGCACCGGGCATTTTACTGCAATGACAAGAACTCTCTCAAGCTGTGCTGATGGTTGCCCAAGTCTGGGAGTGCACTAAAGATCACTGAACTGTACACTTTAAGTGGGTGAACTCTATAGTATATGCAAATCTCATCACTTTCCACATGAAAAACTTCTTTTGAGTTTAGGGGTAGGTAGGTAAACTTTTTCCGTTTAGCCAGCCAATATTTTAGGTTTTGAGAGCCAAATGTGTACACTGCACTTCTCCTCTGCCACTGAACCGATCACATAAAAAGCTACAGCCAATATGTAAAGGAATTCCAAACAACTTTATCAACAGTGAAACAGTCTTCCTCTTTTAATATATTTTTTAACAGTTTAAACATGCAAAAACCATTCTTAGCTGGAGGCTACACATAAACAAAGTGGTCTGAATCTGGATGGTGCTGTTTTATGCCATCCCTAGTTTAACTGTACATTCTAAACAGTAAAGTCATAGGAACACGTGTATGGCGATCTTTTTTTTTTTTTTGGTTTTTTGAGACAGGGTCTCACTATGTAGTTGAGCTGACCTGGAACTCACTATGAATGTAGACCAGGTTGGTCTTGAACTCAAAGTGATCCTCCTGCCTCAGCCTCTCGAGTGCTGGGATTACAGGCGTGCGCCACCACACCCGGCTTGGAGATCTCTTAAATAAATTATCTTTCAAAAATATGTCAGTTTTGGGCCAGGGATTTAGCTCAGTAGTTCTGCCACCTGCCTTGTAAGTGCAAGGACCCCAGTTTGACCCCCGGTACCAAAAATAAATACATAAATAAATAATATGTCAATTTTATTACTTACTTTTAACTTTTCCCTTAAATCTTCCTTTTCTGCCATAACTCTTCTTAAGTCAGATAAGGCAAGTTCCTTTTCCTTTTCCATAAGATTAACAAGACTACTGGGGACAGTGGTGTGGGTTGACTCCTGTCTTAGTGCACATAATTCTTCCTGAGCCTTAAAGAATTAAAAGATGTACATAACACTTGAGATATGCTATTTAAAAAAGGGCCTACTGAACACATGCTAATTTTACTGTCTTCTCAAATGCCAACAAAATGAGATTAAAAGGATTAAAATTAAATAGTAACACCAAAAATACAAGGAGATTGAAAGGTGGCAGTCACAAAATGTTGAAAACTAGATGGCAGACAGACAAGTAGCAATTAACTAAGCAGACCCAAAAAATCTCAAATCTAAGCCAACTATAGGGAAAGCCCAGAAATGGATCAACTTGCAGTCAAATCTTGAAAAAGCTAAAAAAAAAAAAAAAAAAAAAAAAAAAAAAACCAAAACCAAAACCAAAAACCCCTAAAAAACCAGTTCTGTCATCCTGACTTTTTAACTTGCATGTCTTTTCCCCCCGGTCAAAGTAGTGATACCACATCATGGGAGATGGGCATGGATACAAATTTAGGGGACAGACAAGGCTTTGTGTAGACTCACTGGGCCCTCTGACAACTGAGGCTGTGGAAAGAGGCCAGCCTATATCAAATCCCTCTTCCCCAGAGATGCTTTTCTCAGCAGAGGGTAAGCCCTTAGCAGCCACCATTCCAAACACTGGTTGCCACCCAAGTCTGTGCCTGGAATATAGGTGTTTTGGAGCATGTCTAAATCAAGGATAAACTTGGCTCAGAGTCAGGTACTTACAGAAGAAACTATCTTTAATTGACCTGAAACATACATAGGCTAGAAAAGATGAAAAGTAATATGAAAAAAAGAGAAATCTCTGCTTTGAGAATTAGGTAACAGAAAAAAACTACTACTATTTATAATTATGAAGGAATTTTACAAGTTCCATGTTATATAAATCAGCAGGGTATATAATGATTCCATTATAGCTATTTGCTTCTAAATAAACTATTGATTTAGTTACAATAAACTTCTTACTTCATTATATAAGACACTTAGTTTATCTCTTTCTGCTGTCAATAATTTAACATTGCACTGTATATCTTCCATATATTTTTCAAATCTTTCTAGCATATGCTGAAGTTCATCTCTTTCTCTTGTGACCAGATGAATTTCTGAGTTGTAATCACCCTAAAACATAATTAAAAGAGAAGTTATCATTTGTCATAATTATCACATGGTTGTCACGGAGATGCTGGTAACAAGACTGACAGAATACACCAACAAACAAAAAGAACATACATCGCAATGTAATTAAGCAGATGAAAGCCCTGGCAACATGGGGTAAATTTTTTGGCCTTCAGGTTCCCAGGAAGGGACTCAGCCACCAATGATACAACTTGATCAGATTCCATCAGAAGATGGGCAGTCATTCTTCAGTTGTTCATATTAGGGCTAAGATGTAAGTAGTCCTGGAATAGAAGCATCAGCCAAGTCTACATATAAATTTGGGGACCCACCCCAGACTTAATCAGAAACTTTGAGGGTAGGATCTAGTAAGTGTGTTTTATCAATCCTGCCACCTGATTCTGGTACATGACAATTTCTGAGAACCACTAGTTTATAATCCTTTCCAGGGAAGGGACCAGGAGAGCATGGGTGTACCTGTTCACTGACTGTTCACTAAGTATTTCCAACATTTCTAAAACAAGAATATGCCTACTATTCTAAAACAATTTAAAAGACTCACATCTTTGCCACTATAATAAAAAAGGTAGTAAATTTATAGTATTTCAATGTTAAAGTACTAAATATAGAAGGTCCACATAGGGATAATTGATAATGTAATACAATGGAAAGAGTTTTAGCCAAAATTACCCAATAGCTACTCTGTATACACCATGCCAGTGTACAGCTGGTGAGGTACTGCTGATTGTGTACTTGGAAACCAGGCATCTTCATGATTAAACTAGCAAAACTCAAGGCACAAGGGATGAGATTTAGCTATTTGTACCCTTTAAAGGACAAGATGTTCTATAGCAGAAAGCAGATTACGGTTTCAGGACTGAAGGTTTAATACTATAAAAGAAAACCTGTAACATGACTATATCTAAATAAAGAAATCTTGCAGAAAGGAAGTGGTCTATATAGAGTATAGAAAGGGAGAGCTCAGTGAATAAAGATTCAGCAGTTGTTTCATCAATTCTTTTTTTTTTTTTTTTTTTTTTGGTACTGGAGATCGAACTCGGGTCCTTGTGCTTGTGAGGCAGGTGCTGGAACCACTGAGCTAAATCCCCCGCCCCTTGTTTCATCAATTTTTAGGTTTCACTTTAAATGTCACTTTCCAGATTCTGCAACCTAACTGAGGTCTTTTTCATTCTTTCAGTGTCTTCTGAACCATTCCTATACATTTTTCATTTACACTTATCATTAATGAGATTTAAAAGTTCACTCTTTAAAAAAAAAAAAAGTTCACTCTACATTTAGTGCCCAGTGTGATATTTAGTAAACCACTAGTTCCCGGAACATTTATTGGCTGACCTACTTAAACAAAAACTTTTAATTCTTCTCTAAATATATCTTGTACACATATATTTATATCAGTGTTACTGTGTAATATTTAACTCCCTTTCACCACTCCATTATTCCCACCAGACAAGCATAAGCATACACATACACAGTGCTGAAAGGCAATAAGGACAGGAACTATCTTCTCAGAATTCCAGGCCTCATTCACAGCACTCAGCATTAGAATGGATTTGATTTCAGTCAGAAAATAATAAAGAAATAAACCACATTGCTCCTCGGCCTTTTGGCTAAGATCAAGTGCAGTATAAACCATTTACTAGGAGACCTTTACTGGACCTTTATACAAAGTATCTCATTTAATTTTCACAAAAAGTTTATAGTTACATACTTTCTCCCTTCGCAAATGATGAAACAGGCTTACACAAAGTCAGGTTTAGGTAATTTCTCCAAGATGACAAAGTCAGTTTGTAGAAATGGAACTTATATAAAGCCCACAACTACAAAACACTTTCTACTTCACTATCCTCAAAACTCACAGTGGGTATAAGGGTAAAGGAGAAAGGGCCCTCCCAACACAGATGAGAATTAACAAGATTTTATTGATAAAGATCAGTGGCGTTAAAAATGCCAGTTTTTTTTCAGGGATGGGGATTTAGCTTGCAAGGCAGGCATGACGAGGTCCTGAGTTCGAGCCCTGATACAGGAATGGAGGGGATGTCAGTTTTTTCTGACATTATCATTCAAGAAGCTGTGCACAGCAATCTGCCACAAAACAGGTCGGCAACTTAAAGCTAGTACCAAATTTAGCTGGAGAGAAGTCTTTGTTGTTTATTCACAAATTGCCCCTAATGTGTTTAAAATGCCTAATTTTAGGTAGGGAATGTATTTCTTAGTTTCTAGAATTCACAATGTTTTACACCTCACCCTTTTCACTCATGTACTTGGCCACTATTTCCCACCATGCCTTTAATTTATTACTGGGGTTCTAAAAATATTCTGAATTCCTTGACGTTGAACTCCAGAAAATAAATTCTTTGCCTATACCTGGTACCATAACATTTCAAGAAAGTATGTTGAAGGGGAGAAAAGGTGTCTCCTAACTGTATCTGTATCTAACCAATATCTCTTACTTGTCTTTCTGTTGTGAATCTGTACCAAGCCAATGAATCAAATATTTAGGGCAAAAGCTTTGAGGTTTTCATCTATTCGATTATCTTGATTAAAGAGATCAACAGTTTTGAAGGAGATCCTCCTACATAATGAAAAAATCAACTTGATGACTTATTTTCTCTAAGTCCTAAGAATATATAAAACATAAAAACAACTCAGTAAGAAACTAACTTACACTGTATTTTCTCACCAGTTTATTTTGCTTATAATAGGTAACAGCATGGTGTTTAACAACTATAAAGCAAACTTTAGCAAATAACAACAAAATTAAAAACCAAAGATTATCAGGAGACAATAAACTATTGGACAATGGACACAGAAAAGATGCTAAAAGATTATATTCTCAGTTTTAATGACTTTCCCCCCAACTTCCCTGGTTTTACCTACTGTGTCCACAATATTAGGGCCATGTAAGCCTTCAGGACTTCTACAGCTCCAAAACTTAAGAAAGAAGCCAAAAAAAAAAAAAAAAATCTAAAGAATTCAAATGATACTTATAAGACACTACAAATAATTAAGACTTAGAAACATGATTTTAATTTCTCATGAATCATTATCAACTTTAAATAATATATACAATGGGAGACGCAGATGATATACAGGCCTACAGATATAGCTGAGGGGCAGAGCACTTGACTAGATGCACAGTGCCCTGGGTTTGATTCTCAGTACCACAAAACAAAGCAAAACGAGGAGGAGGAGAGGAAGCGGGAAGGGGAAGGGGCGGAAGGAAGAAGAGGAGGAGGTGCTAGTATAAGATGAAGGAGGGAGGAGGAAGAAGAGAACAAAAGGAATAAAAAGAAAAGGATACGTACAAAGTGAGTATCTCTGTCACTCTTTTTATCGAAGATGGGGTTCTGCTAAGCTGCCCAGGTGGACCTCAAACTTTCAATCTTCCTGCTTCAGCTTCCCAAGCAGCTTGTGAGTATAAGACTCTCAAGGTGAACAACTTTAGACTATCAACTTGCAAATACAGTTGTAACAAAAAATTTTGCACAACATCTGCTTCCAATTTCTACCACTTCTTGAAAAATGGTTAATCGAAAAGGTGCCTGGTCAGTAGAATGTGACACACCTTTCCAACTGGTCTAACTAGTGCTGGAGTAACGTGATGCCGTATTGTCTGCTATGTGGACCAAGCCACTCTGCTTCCAGAGAAACAATGTAGCTGATACATAAACTCAATTCTAGAAAGAGAGGAAATGTCCAGTAGTGTAAAGCCCTGGGTTCCAGTGAGCTAGTCAATGTTTCCTTAATTTTCGGGAATCAGTATGTTACTTTTTTTGTTGAGTAATTCTCGTAATTACTGCGGATTTCCTGAATCTCAGGTCACAGAAGAAAATAGAAATCAAAATCAGGACTTTTAAAAAGCACATGTAAACAGGTTAAATTTATTTACTTTTAATTTTTTTTTGCTTTAAACAATTTATTTAACTGAAATCCCATATACAGCCCTCCATTTAGTTTCATATATCTTAAAACTAAAAGTGTAAATAAGGTTTAAATGGTACAACTGATAGTGTGAAATAGGAAGAAAATGGCTAAAGGGGAAGTGGGAAGGGTAGGGGAAAGGAAATAAGGGAAAAGAAAAAATGGACATAGTCTTTACAAATAGAGAGGGAAGGGTGAGGGGGTCAAGGGAGGGCAGGGGTCTGGGGAAAAACTAAGAACCAAGACATATGTAAAGGTACAAGATCCCAATGATGAATATAATATAACTGTTGTTTGCTTTAAATGTATCAATAATTTAACGGGAAAAAATTTTTAAAATAAAATATTTTGATACATCTTGCCCCCAAAGTGATTTAGAGGATTTTCAAGCCAATATAAATATTTCATAAATATGTGGCCATTTGGGTACACATCTGCACAATACCTCACATCTTCCAACGAGGAAAACACTATAAAGACCTGACACCATTAACTGGGTGTAATGAGAGTCTGCTCCAAATACTGTTTCTCTGAGGTAAAGGCACCACACACCTGTTCAATTAAGAAAACCATCCTTACAACACAGGATGATTTTTTTTTTCAGCTTTAATTGAGTTTATTGGTACATTTGAGGGATACAGTACAGTTACATGCATTGTTGGGATGTTGTACCTCTACATGACAGGTCTTGGTTCTCATTTTTTCCCCTTGTCCCTGCCCTCCCTTCACCCCCCTCCTCCCCTCCCCATCTGCAAACACTTTATTTCCATCTTTTCATTATCTCACATTCTTTTCTTTTCCCTTACTACCCTTCCCCTACCCATTCCACCTTCCCTACATCTTTAGCCCCTTTCTTCCCATTTCACAATGTCAGCAATCTCATTAGGATCTTATGTACTACTACAGTTTATACACACCAGAGAAATGATTCAGTATTTACAAGTGTGACTTATTTACTTCAGTTAGGAGTATATCCTCAATATGTATCCATTTTCCTATGAATGAATCTATTTTCTCATTCTTTATGGCTAAGTAATATTCCATTCTATAGAAAAACCACATCTTCTTTACCCAGTTTCCAACTGATGGGCAAATGGGCTGTTTCCAAGTTTTAGCTATTACAAACTGTGCCGCTATAAACATGGGTGTGCATACATCACTGTGGTATGATTCTTTTAGTTCTTTTGGAAAGATACCCAGTAGAGGGATGGCTGGGTCAAATGAAACCTCCAGTCCAAGCTCCTTGAGGTATCTCCATATTAACTTCCATAGTGGTTGCACCAGTCTGCAATCTCACCAACAATGCAAAAGGGTTCCTTTCTCCCCACAACCCCAGCAACATTTGTTGTTGGTTGATTTCTTGATAGCAGCCATTCTTTGTCGGGTGAGGTGGAATCTCAGTGTTCTCTTCATCTGCATCTCTCAAATGACCAGTGATGTGGAACATTTTTTCATATATTTACTTGCTGCTTTTACTTCTTTGTCTGAGAAATGTCTGTTCACTTCAGATGCCCATTTTTGAATTGGGTCCTTATATTTCGGGGGGTGATTGTTTTGAGTTCTTTATATATTCTAGACAATAGTCCTTTGTCTGAGGAGCAGCTGGTAAAAATTTTTTCCCACATTGTAGGTTGTCTCTTAGTTCTGTTGATGGTTTCTTTTGCAGTGCAGAAGGTTTTTAATAAGATGAGATCACAGTTGTTGATTCTTTCTGCTAGTTCCCGTGCTACCGAGGATTTGTTCATAAAATCTTCTCCTATGCCAATGTCTTCCAGAGTTCTGCCTAACTTATCTTCCAGCAAGTTTAGTGTTTCTGTTTTAATATTTAGATCTTTAATCCACTTGGATTTTAATTTAGTGCATGGTGAAAGGGTCTAGTTTTAATCTTTGGCAGGTTGAAATCCAGTTTTTCCAACACCATTTATTGAAGAGGCTATCTTTCCTCTACTGAGGATGGTCAGCTCCTTTGTCAAAGATGAGGTAGCTGAGTACATCTAGATTTGTTTTTGTGTCTTCCAATCTGTTCCACTGATCCTCAAGTCTGTTTCTTTGCCAGTACCATGCTGTTTTTATCACAGCGGCTTTGTAGTATAGTTTCAAATTGGGAATTGTTATACCCACTGCCATGTGTCTATTGTCTAGGATGGCCTTTGCTATTCTAGGTCTCTTATGGTTCCAAATGAATTTTTGGATTATTCTTTCTAGTTCTGTGAAATATAGTGTTGGAATTTTAATTGGTATTGCATTGAATCTGTATAGCAGCTTTGGTAGTATGGCCATTTTCACTATGTTGATTCTTCCTACCCAGGAGCAGGGGATATCTTTCCATTTTCTTATATCCTCTTCAATCTCTTTTTTCAGAGTGCTGTAGTTTTCAGTGTAGAGGTCTTTTGCTTCTTTTGTTAGATTGATTCCTAGATACTTCACTTTTTTGGATGCTATTGTAAAAGGAATTTTTTCCCTAATTTCTCATTCAGTGAGGCTGTTATTTGTGTACAAGAACGCTACTGATTTTTGGGTGTTCACCTTGTATCCAGCTACTCTACTGAATCTGTCAATTAGGTCTAGAAGTCTTTTGGTGGAGGTTTTTGGGCCTTCAATGTAGAGTGTCATATTATCAGCAAATGACAGTTTAACTTCTTCCTTTCCTATCTTTATTGCTTTAATTTCTTTCTCTTGTCTAATTGCTGTGGCTAATGTTTCCAGAACTATATCGAAGAGGAGCGGTGATAGTGGGCATCCTTGTCTTGTTCCGGATTTTAACGTGAAGGTTTTCAGTTTTGGGCCATTTAATATGATGCTAGCTGTTGGTTTTTGATAGATAGCCTTTATTAAGTTGAGATATAGACCATCTATTCCAATTTTTTGCAGGGTTTTTATCATGAATGGGTGTTGAATTTTGTCAAATGCTTTTCTGCATCTATTGAGAGGATCATATGGTTTTTGTCCTTGACTTTGAAAGCAGTTCTATGGGGAAAATTCATAGCACTGAATGCCCACAATAGGAAAACAGAGCGAGCTCAGATAAACAACCTAATGATGAATCTTAGACTCCTAGAAAAACAAAAACAAGAAAAACCCAAGCTCGAACAAGAGAGGAAATTATAAAGATTAGAGCAGAAATCAATGCAATGGAAACTAAGAAAACGATACAAAAAAATAAATGAAACAAAGTTTTTTAAAGAATAAATAAAATCGATAAACCCTTAGCTAATCTTATCAAAAAAAGGAAAGAAAAGACTCAGATCCATGCAATCAGGAATGAAAAAGGCAAAGTCACAACAGATCCAACAGAAATCCAGAGGATCATTAATACCTACTTTGAGAACCTGTACTCCAATAAAATGGAAAACACAGAAGAAATGGACAGATTTTTAGATACTTATGAATTACCAAAGTTGAACAAAGAAGATAAAAACATTTTAAACACCCCAATTACAGTCAGTGAAAGTGAAAATGTAATTAAAAATTGACCAACAAAGAAAAGCCCAGGCCCTGATGGATTCACGGCTGAATTTTACAAGACATTTAGAGAAGAACTACTGCTTTTACTCTTCAAACTTTTCAATGAAATTGAAAAGGAAGCTACACTTCCAAATTCATTCTTGGAAGCAAGTATCACTTTGATTCCCAAACCAGGGAAAGACGCAACTAAAAAAGAAAACTATAGGCCAATCTCCTTAATGAATATAGATGCAAAAATCCTTAATAGGATACTAGCAAACAGAATACAGAGGATAATCAGGAAGATCATACGTCCTGACCAAGTCGGATTTATTCCAGGGATGCAAGGATGGCTCAACATACGTAAGTCAATAAAGGTAATACACTTTATTAACAGGATGATTTTTTTATTAAGTAGGGCTTTGGGCACTCAGCTACTAATCAGGAGCTGCATGGCAGAATTGCACCCCCAGCTTATGCCGTGAATTCCTAGGGAACAGGTTCCAACAACTCAGGCTCCTTCCCACTGGTTCCCACCAAGTGTGTTTCTCTGGGTGGGGCAGGCTGGCGCTTCAGCTGAACCCAGGTTCCCTTCTCTTTGGCTTCCTTCTTTTTCTGATCATTTCCCTTGACACGTTTCAGGAAGCTATCTCGACTCTGAGTGTTTCATATGCTCAATACACACATTAATCCTCTTGGCATCCTCTTGGTATCTTGCCCTTAACTTGCTTGTTTACAACAATGCCAAAAACATGCTGGGTAACACTGTAATTTCTTCCAATTTTGCCATGGTAACCTTTGTGTGGCATTCCTTTTTGAGCAGTACCCATTCCCTTGATGTCTACAGTATCACCCTTTTGTAGATTAGCACGTCTGTGGCCAAAGGAACAACCCTATGTTTTCTAAAAGGCCTAGAGAACATATACCAGCTTCCCTGCTCTTTCCCTTTGCGTTTGTCATTTTGGCAAATTACTGGAAGATGGAGGTTCCAGCCGAAAGGCTAAACAGGTTATATTTAATATAATAAAACAAAAAAGTTTCATAATACTTTCTTATCAACTTTTATAAAAGGATCTTACCTTTTCCGATGTTTTAAATACTTGATTTCTTTCATGTGCACAGTAATTTATAGAGCAAGATCTTCTCTGTATTATATGTTGGAGCTTTTCTAGCTCTTTCTTATAGTAATCTCGTTCTTCTTCTATACCTTTGAGAAATGTATCTAAACGAGAAGGTAACTTGTCTCGACGTTTTATTCCATGTTCTAGCCTCATCCTCTCAACTTCCAAAGTAAGTTCTCTTTCTGCAATTTAAAGTAGTTAAACCATAAAACAATGTTCCATCTACAACGTGAATTAGCCAAGTAAATAATGTAACTTTTACAAAGAATGCTACTAGAAATCATGAACTGTTTTGTATCACTTTTAATACAAAACAGTTCATGATTTTAAGTAAAAGAACAACAAAAAGGTAAATATTGAGGATAAACAAAAAAGCAAAATATTAAAATTGAAACAAAGTCTTATAAGACAAAGTCCCCTTGTTTTGTCTTATCATAGTATGAGTACCATTTAGTATAACAAAATGAAACAATAGGGCCGGTGATTTAGCTCAGTGGTGCCAACACCTGCCTCACAAATGCAAGGTCCTATGTGCAAATTTAACATTAAGCTTGAATTTAATATAGTATACACATATATAGATAGAGATCAAAATAACTCAGGTCTTTCAGCAAATAAGCACTTATTATTAGCTTTTACCAAAGAAATTACCTTTTCATGAATCAAAAGTAAATACAATACTGGCAATTTCATAAAGTTCAATCTAATTTAATGAAGGCTCATTAGAACTTTGAGGCATGAAAGGATTTTTTTCATGATGTGTTCTGATTCACTTACCTTCCTTGCATCATTCAGCAGATATATATTTTGCATTTATTTCATGCCAACCACTAGCTAAGGATTCAAGCATAAAAACCTTAGCCACAATCAATTACGCTAATGAAAGTAGGCTAAAAGCTACAAACAAATAGTGTATAATACAAGATGGAAGATGAACTGGTAAATTCACCCCAAAAAGGAGTGACCAAAGAGGTAAGAAGAAAGTAGGAGAGTAAGAAAGAAGGAGCAATTATGTTAAATGTTAAGGAGTCAAGCTAATGAATGAAAAGTGTCCATTAGATTTAGCATAATGGATTTGAAAAACGACCTTACAAGAGCAGCTGTTTTTGGTTTTGGTATGTCTTTCTTTGTTTTTGGTGGTATTGGGGAATGAATATAGGGCCTTTGCACTAAGTTATATCCCCAGTCCTTTAATTTTGAGATGGGTACTCAGTCCCATCTCAAAATTAGTACTAAGTCACTAAGTTGTCCAGGCTGTACTCGAACTCATAATCCTCCTGCTTCAGCTTCCCAAACTGCTGGGATTACAGGCTTCCATGAGGCCCTATGCCCAGCTAACAAGAGCACAAGAGCACTCCTGTTGATGACACGAGGACAGAAACCAACGTGAGTGGACTGAGGAGGGTAGTGGGTAGTCAAACAGAAACAGCCAACCATGGATTTTAGGTGACAGGATTGCATTTCCTTAAAAGATTCTATACTTTAATTTTGTACTAGTTCAACATCACCATCTTAGTTTTAATTGTGTTTTTTAAGGATTACTTCTACTGCAAAGGATTACTTACAAAGTATGACTTGAAGGATTAGTTGTATTGCAAAATATTTATGCAAGGTCTCCTGTACCAACCAGTCAAAACTAGAAAAGAACTCATAAGATCCTTGACGGAGAGAGATCTCTAAGATCTTTAAAAGTATAGTGTCTAATATGGTTGCTGGTTCATAGTAAACACTCAACATATTTTTATTGAATGAATGAAAGACCATCTACTAAGAAAAAATAATATGTCAAGGGCAAATCACAATCATTTTTAAAGTTATTAACATTTTATATCTTACCTGTAACTGCAAAACTTTCAATTTTTTTGCTAAGTCTTTGCTTTTCTTGTTCAAGCTGATGAACAACAGTTTCCAGGTCTGATTTTAGAAGAAGTTCATCGCTCAGTCTCTCCTTTTCTTTATGGCATAAGTCTAATTCCTGAAAATTTTAATACTACAATTAAGATTTCTAGTAACTTTCTAAAATATTACAGCACTCAATTTTTTTTTTTAAATGTTGCTAGGGATTGAACATAGGGCCTCAAGAATACTTGCTTGGCAAGTACTCTACCAATGAGTCACATTCTCATTGCTTTTTACTTTTATGTTGAGACAGGATCTAAGTTACCCAGTCTGACTTTGAACTTGCAATTCTCCTGCCTCAGCCTTCCAAGTAGGTGGGATTACAGGCATGTGCCATCAACCCTGGGCTTTATTTTTATAAGCACATTTATATAATAATAATTCACATATATACATATGTGCACACACATTTTAACTAATCAAATAAGTTTCAACTGAAGGTAATTATCAATTGTGGCTAAAAGCACCATGAAAATCCAAATATCAACAGTGCTCCTTTGAAAATGGTGGAATTATTAGATTTTACTTTCCTTTTATTTGTTTAGCATATTGCCCCACTTTTTAAAAACTTAGTATGTACTTGAGCAATAAAAAATTGAAGGTTTATGTTTAAACGAGGGCAGTGGTAAGATACAGTAGTCACTGTGTTTATACATACAAAAACCAACGAGTATTTGAGCACGTACTATGTACCAGCATATCAACATATGGTTTCCTCTTTAACTGACTTATGTCACCAGAACATAAGTATAAAGATATACATATAATTAGAACACATGAAAATACACTACTGAAAACAACAGGGCCAGGGATTTAGCTCATTGCTTCCTCTGCCTGCCTTACAAGCTCAAGGACCCAGTTCAATCCCCAGTACAAAAAATAAAAAGAAAATGAAAAAGAAAGAAAAGAAAAAGAGCAGTAACAAACCGGGTGTGGTGGCACACGCCTGTAATCCCAGCACTTGGGAAGGTGAGGCAGGAGGATCACTGTGTCACTGTGAGTTCAAAACCAGCCTGGGCTACATAATGAGTTCCAGGTCAGTCTCAACTACATAGTGAGACCCTGTCTCAAAAAACCAAAACAAACAAACAAAAAGAACAACAATAACAAAAAACCCATCTTCTAGGTGACCACGTAGTTTTAAACTGTTAGCAAGATGTTCTTTCTGCTAGTGCTAGACCCGATGCTGTATTTAAGCTTCTGCTGGAGTTACTATTTCCTCACTAAAAGACTACAACAAGCAATATAACTCAGGAAAATGCTTTGCATTACACCTCAGTTATTAAAAGAGGACTGCCTGTTTTTAATAATAGTCAGCAATAATATCATGTAATTACCAATTTCTTTTTTTTTTTTTGGTACCGGGAATAGAACTGGGGTCCTTGTGCTAGCAAGGCATGCAGCAGAACCACTGAGCTAAATCCCCGGCCCACCAATTTCTGATTTTTAACAGTAAATTAACAAATCATAAAGTCTTTAAACAATGTTAAACTCATAACAGGTTTTCAAAATTTGAATTTCACTTGCAAACCTATTACCATAGCAAAGATTAAAGAATTATAAAATATGAAACTGCATAGCTATACAGTGGAATATAAGCTATAAAAAGGGAAAGGAATTATACAATGTACATGAACCTTGAAAACATGCTAAGTAAGACAAAGAAGCCAGACCAAAAGGCCATATACTGCATGACTGCATTTATACAGAATAGTCAGAATAGACAAATATTACCACCTGGAAGTAAATGGTTTTCAGGGGACCAGAGGAGAATGGGAAGCGGCTGCTAAAGGGAATGAGGGTTTTTTGTTTGTTTGTTTGTTTTTTTTGAGACAGGGTCTCACTATTGAGGTTCAGACTGACCTGGAACTCACTATGTAGCCCAGGCTGGTCTTGAACTCACAGCAATCCACTGCCTCAGCCTCCCGAGTGCTGGGATTACAGGCATGTGCCACCATGCCCAGCTGGGAATGAGGTTTCTTTTTAAAGTGATGAAAATGTTCTTGGTTTAGATGGTAGTGGTGGTTGCACAACAGTGACTGCACTAAAAACACTGTATAAAGAGTGAATAGAATATATAAACTATATCTCAATAAGAATACCTATATAAAATAAAGAACAAAAAGTTTTACTAAAAATGTCATTATTATAATGACATCAAAAGCTACACTTTCAGGGATCATTTCTATAGTTAGTTATAACAGGCATCAACCTACCAGTTGAAGTTTTGTCATTGTTTCTTCAAGATTCCGCATTTCACAGAGGTTTCTTTTGATCTCTTTCTAGGAATAAAAAGCTTATTAGGTAAACATCTAGAAGTCTAAGAATACTTATCACTATGCCACTGCCACTGTGTAAAAATTCTTCTAGTGGTTCATGCTCTCTTACTAGTAAGATCTGAGGCTTCAGCCATACTGCTCAGTTTCACTGAAGAAGGTACAAAATTCAGGATTCTCTTTAATCCTTTGGCATACTGAATGCTTACAAGAACCTGTTTGTAACATCTGAAAGAAAAGGACCCTGGAGAATCTTTTTTTGCTGTATTCTGGCAGGACTTTCATTAGGCCTTGAATTTCAGGATATACTTTATGGTACTGTCATTTCCTAATTTTCTATCCTACTTGCTTGCTCCTCACCTGCTCTTACCAATCCAGAACCTCTATTCTGCAACTGAAAGAGTAGAAAGCTGAAATGAAAATATTATGGCCCAACAAGAATCTACTGCTAAGCCAAACTGTCATTTCTGAGCATTGTCCATAGCCACAAGAGGCCATGTTCAGCATACTGCAAGAAGATGCTCAGCACAGGAGCAAGCTCAACACAGAAGATGCAAAAGGAGGTCAAAAGAGAGAGGGATAAGTGTTGCCATGGAAGTAAAAGTACAAAGGCATAAGCAAATTGTATTAATTATATCATTTCTCCATATTGCTTTAGCTATCTAGGGTTTATTGAGGTTCCATATAAATTTTAGAATTTGCTATTGAAAATGAGATTATTTCTTAATTTTCTTTTCGGATTTTTTATTGTTAGTATATACAAAACATACCTGAGTTTTGTATATTGATTTTGTAACCTGCAACTTTGCAGAATTCATTTACTAGTTCTGCTTTCTTTAGGATTTCCACAGGTAAAATCATCCTTCTGTGACCAGAGATAATTCTGTTCTTCACTTGCAATCTGCATGCTTTTCATTTCTTTTTCTTGCCTAATTTTTCTAGCTAAGACATCTGGTACTATGTCAAACAGACATGATGAAAGTATTCTCTTGATTTTAGAAGAAAAGTTTCCATTTTTCAAATAAAAGTATCACATTGGCTGTGGGGTTTTCATGAATGGTTTTTATTATACTGAGGTAGTTTCCTTATGTTCTACTAGTTAGTGGGGACACTTGAAAACAACTCCCTTATAGAGTGGCAGGCTCCAAAGTGGTTTATATAGGGGCCAGAAATTTAACTCAGTGGTTCCGAAACCTGCCTCGCAAGCATAAGGACCCAAGTTCGATCCCCGGTACCCACCCCCGCCAAAAAATAATTAAAACCAAACTGGTTTATATCTACTCCTGATATGAAGGCTGTAAAACAATGGTATGCACACATAATTTTAAGGAATCAATACGATACCAGGATCCTTAATATGCATATACACACCTTCAGACAAATGACGTATGTAAGAACTTGCTTATGGTTGGTCTGAATATCACACAAGGTTCTCATCCTTATTTTCCCTTTTACAACTGCCTTTCTTACACTCTTCCAAGGCTCACATCTCATTTATGTCACCGTGGTACACTGTTTCAAGATACACTTTCGGAGCACCAGATTAACAGATAATGTGAAGTGCAGGGGCTGGCTAGAACCTTTACATTAGACACTATGTTCTTCCATTACATTTCATTTAGGGATGTACTGCCAACAATATTTTACTACAATATATTTACTAAGATTTGTGGTAGATGTGTCACCTTGATCTATTTACCACTATTGTAATATCATTACTCAGAGGAAAAATATTAACAGTTTGAACTTTACAGTCACAGAAATTTTTTCAATTCATGTATTTTTTATTTTATGCAGGTATGATAGACTGATCATAAAAAGATATTCATATATTAAAATAGGCTAAAATTTTGTAAAGATTTCAAAGAGAAAGAGTCATTTAGATTTCACTGGATACATTTAGAAGAATCATGAGATTAATTTTAAGAGGTCAAAATTTATGATAGATTAGAAATTTTATCCTTTGCAATTTAAAAGATGAAAGATGTTAGCTTCTAACATACAAATGTGCAAGAACATATACTTTTTCTTTTGGTACTGGGGATTGAACTCAGGACCTTGTGCTTTCAAAGCAGGCACAACACCACTGAGTTAAATCCCTTGCCCAAGAACATATATTTTTAAGACACTTTTGAAAGGTTCTTGAGCAAAAAATTTCAGGGCAAGCTTATATGCTCTCTCACAATGCAGAGTTAAAAGAGAAATTCTGAAGGCAATAGGACAGCATTTGGAGCTCTATACAAGAATAAGTGTGTTTTGGAAAAACTCTAGACTGGGCTGGGGATTTAGTTCAGTGGTTCCACCACCTGCCTCACAAGCTCAAGGTTCTGAGTTTGATCACTGGTACCAAGAAAAACCCCAAAAAAACCCTAGACTAGAAAAAAAATGTAATCATTTAGAGGGTGTAAACACTTGAAAAATCTTTAATTGCCAAAAGAAAAACAACATATATACAAAATAAATTAAAAAACCTGGATGTGGTTATCAAAAGGGGCCAAGAGTCACTGTGTTATGGAAGAATCAATGACCACTCCTGCAACCAGACAGATTACCTTTGCTTCTCCAAGTTCTTTATCAGCAGTCTCAAGCACTTCTTCTTTATGCCTTTCTAGTTGCTGTGCTAAGTGGTCTATTTCAGTTAATTCTTGGCAGAGTTTTTCATTTTTGTTACTTAAATTAACGACTTCAGTTGCCACCGTTTCCTTGGTTTCCATAAGCTCTTGAATGTGCTTCTCCAGGTCTTTATTAGCTTGCTGAAGAAAGTCAACCTAAATTGAATTTGTAACCATAAAGTATATAAATTGGAAAATTATCCTAAATTCTGAAACTATAAAAATGTCAAAATCTGTAATTTTAGGAGATAATGAAATTAAAACTAGTTACTTTATAATTGTAAACTTAAATATTGATTTTATTTGCAAAATTAACAATATTGTGCCTTAATGAAAATATATATTCACTGGCTTTGGTTTTCAAGCACAGAAGGAAAGAGTAAGAAAGAAATCTGCATGACCTTTTTCCCCAATACAGCATCAAAAAATATGACAAGGATATCACGATGATGATATTAAACTGTGCTGTTTAAAATATGTAGCCCCCTTTGTCTACATGTGGCTACTGAGAGCTTGAAATCTGGCTAATCCAAAACAAGGTGCTGTACAAATGTAAAAACATACACAATATTTCAGAGTCCTGATTAAGGAAAAAAGAATAAAAACATTACATGCTGAAATAAGATTCTGGATATACTAGGGTAAGTACATTATTAGAATTAAATGCACCTTTTTTATTTTTTAAATGGCTGGCTGAAAATTTTAAATCATATATTTGGCTCACATCACATTTCTATTGGACAGCACAGGCCTACTACTCTGTACTCCGCTTACTTTACTCTGCTTACCCTTGAGGCAGTGCTGACGTATCTGTCTCAAGGTCACGTGTTGTACAGTATAGAACTCCCCTGCTCTTTCAACCTTAGGTCAAATGCATGGCATGAGTAAATAAAAGTTACAGGTTTGAGAAATATATAACATATATATTCCTATATGATGTATATGTAAATAATAAATAATTTATGTATTAAAAACCATCTTTTTGTATAACAAAGAAATTGTTAGTTTTTTTTAAAAAAATTGAGTTTATTGGTACATTTTAGGGATACAGTACAGTTACATTCATTGTTAGGATCTTGTACCTCTACATGACAGGTCTTGGTTCTCATTTTTCCCCCTTGTCCCTGCTCTCCCTTCACCTCTCCTCCCCTCCCCATTTACAACCACTTTATTTCCATCTTTTCATTTTCTCACATTTTTTCTTTTCCCTTATTACCCTTCCCCTACCCATCCCCCATCTAAGAAGCAGACTGAAGACCACACTGTGCCCACAGCTTATTATAAACAATGTTTTACATTAAGGTGTGTCTTAATTCCTACCTTACTAAATATTCTTTAAGAACAAAATTTTTTAATAGTTGCACCGTATTTCTAGATACTTGGGCTCTACCAACTTTTTTTCCTACTGTAAATAACACTTTAATGGACAGTATTATCACTTTTACAAACCCAGAGACCATTTATAAATACCTAAGGTTTTATATACACAGTGAAATAATGGTAAAAGCCATTACCTGCACATTTAAATGAGCAATCAGCTTTTCATTGGTTTTATTTCTAGTCTCCAGAGACAGGACATCCGGCGGGCGCCCACCATCCAAAGCAACTGACAGTCGTTCTATCTCTCGTTCTCGTAGCTCAATCTGCAGACATAAAGTCAAGCTATCACTTTTAAAATGTCTGGTTCTGAACCAAATGGTTAACACTGAACATTTACTTGGACATGTTTTTCTCGTCTCACAGTGTATATAAGAGATTAACATTCATATTTGTGTTCCTATGTATAATGCATAATGCAGAGCAAAAGGAAGTAATTCAGAAAATGATATCCTAAGAATCATCAATATTACTCTGTAAGTATTTTCCTTCTATTTGAATTTTGGAGATTTTTTCCCCTCCTCTAAGAATGAACAATTGATTATATAAACAGAAACATGTCAGCAGATTGTATACGTGTTCAAGTACTGAAAATGAACTATTTCACTGCCTATTGATATAAATGTGTGATAAATGTAAAACACAAAGAAAACTGGTTGTTGCTATTGACTCTCAATGTTAAAAAAGGTAGGCACTGGGGTCAATTTAACTATCTAGTATTTAGAAAACAACAGATATATAACCAAAACAAATACTACAAACTATGAATTGATGCTAATTTACATGCAAGAATTTGCAAAACTCACATGCTTTCAAGCTTTGGTTTTCTTAAAGAAGGAAAGAAAGGAAGAAGAAAAACAACAACAACAAAAAAGAAAAATCACAGCACTCTATTCAACAAAGAACTCTTAAGCACAAAAACAGGTATACAAAGATGAATAAAATATAGCTTCTCACGTTCAGGAATACATACCTTTTTACAGGAAAATTAGTAAACCAATAACTATTGCATTTTCTGGTATTCAATGACAGAATAAAAGAAATTTGGTACCAAACTAGCTAGGAGATTTAGTTGGCATGGTATATGTGTTTGTGAAAATTACCAGACTTTATCAAATAGAGGGCTATTCCAAGCAGTGACACAAAAATAAAAAGCAATGTGGTACTTCCGAGGCACTAGAATTGGCTCAGTATGACTGGATTGTAAGGCATAAGGGATCTTGTCGTTGGCGGTAAATCTGAAGAATTAGGCCTTGGACAGGAAGAACAATCCCTTACCTATTAGGAGAGCCTCACTATAAATACTGCTAATTTTAAAGGTTAAAAAAAATAGAAAGTTCATTTTCTCAGGTGGCATCCTGAGAAAGAAAACTATTATAAATTTTTATTATGTTTGGTTCTGGGATTGAATCTAGGGCTTTAGGCATGGTAAACATATAACCTATTCTTGAGCTATACCCTAGTGGTGCAAATGTGCTAAGAAAAACAAAATAAACTCAAACAAAAGAAGAATAGTAATAACTGATAGCAAAGTGGGTTCAACTAAGATTAACAACAGCCACAATAAACTGGTGGTTTCAATCAGAATGCTCAATCAATTTTCTCCAAACACTTCAGCAACCTCATAGAGATGAGAAAGACTGACCAGTTTATACTCATGAAATCTCTGGAACAAAATGTGATCAAAGTATGACTATGCACTATCAGTAATAACTCAGCTCTTGCATAGTTGATATTTTTAACATCTCTTCGTAAAGTTACTTTCTGAGTTGACATGATTTTCTTTCTTTAAAGTCCATTTCTGTCCAAATAATCTTCAAAGTACTTTACAAACTTAAAAGTTATACTAACAGATAAGTGTATCTACATTTGTATCTACAGATCCTTTCACTCCAAAAACATGCAGGCATATGCAGAAAATGAAAAACGCACTACCCAATTTAAACTTGAATAAGCAGGTTAAGAAAGAAATCTTGGGCTAGGTAGGGATTTAGCTCAGTGGTGCTGCCACCTGCTTGCAAGGACCTGAGTTTGATCCCTGGTGCCAAAAAACCCCCTCAAAAAAACAGAAAGAAAGAAATCTTTTGATTTCTGCCAAGATGTCAAGAGAAAGTGCAAAGGACAAAGCTGGGTGTGCTTATGATTTAATTTTGCATCTATTAACCTCTCTACTTCAGAAACTGCTTTATGAGTTACTCATGCATTTAGAGAAAACATTCAAACAACAAAGAATAATTTCCAAAGAGATTTATATGCAAAATAACAAAATCTGTAAGAATAAGAAAATAACAAATACAATTATATAACATATTTGGGTAGACAAATGTTTCATCTAAAAGAAAAAGAAAACAAAACAGAATGAAAATATCACTATTCATCTTAATGAATAATGAAGGAAAGGGAGCATCTGAGTCATTCCAAAATTAACTCTACTCACAAACTGATGGAAAAGGTGAAGGCTGTATAAAAACACTATTGGGCTGCAGATTTACCTCTGGTGCCACTGCCTGCCTTGCAAGCATAAGGACCTGAGTTCAATCCCCAACACCAAAAAAACAAAAAACAAAACAAGATAAAAAACCTAACGGTAACATAAAATGTAACTCAGTCTACTAACGATCATGGTATATCTATTTTAATCCCAAACGGCCAGGTTATAAAAACCCTACCTGCTGGCTGTAATCTCTCACACCATTTTCCATCACTGCTAACTTTTCTTGTAGCTGGTGGACTTCCTGCTGAAGTTCTTGGATCCTAAAAGGCATTTATAATTGATGTCAATATATGTGTGAAGAAAAAGAATAAGAAATCAAAAATAAATCAGTTATTTTATAAATTTTATACTTCAGGCTTTTCAAGGAGGGATCAGTGCTGTGTCAAAGAATTCCAAAATCTCAAAATGAATACAGTACTATATCATCTTGGAGGGTTAATTTTTTCTAGATTAAAAACTGAGTAGTATATAACTTGAAACTTTAGATACATGATACAATAAAATATTTCACTATTGCATTTTGGTCCTTAGACAACTCTTGGGGGTATTGCTGCTAATTCTTAGGTTCAGAAAAGTGACAGTCTAGTTCAAAATTCAGGATATCATCAAGGGAAATAAGGAGCTACAAAGTGTTTTAGGATGTTAGCCCCATGTTGTCCAATAAACTACTCTGCAATCCTGGAGAGAAGAAATATATTGAGATAAAGGGAATTTTCCAAGTAACTACAAGAAAACATTCTTCTTTCTGAAACTTGTAAATTCTAAGAGAATGAAGATTTTGGCCAAATTACCTCACTACTACACGTATTTGTACTACTTCAGTATGACATAGCCTGTTTTTGTACTGGAATGATGAAGCCTGAAGCCAAGTTTATTTTTAAGAGATTTTTTCCCATGGGTTGGAGGACTGAGGCTGAATGCAGCTTATTCCTACTATTACTGGAACCAAAGTTTTCTACTAGTCTGATTTAGACGTGTACTCTAACATGCAAGTGTACTCCTAAAGGCATGAATGACTGAATACAAACAAAACGTGAAAAGACTAAGGCCACCTATGCAGTCCTAATACTTCTTTAATACTGACACAGTATCTGACAAGCCCTAAGTTATAACTTTAACAGACGATGAAAACACAAAATATTTCAAGGTTAAATAACTATATAAACATAGGCTCACAAGATTGTATTGAGACTGTATGAGTGAAGAGATCCTAATCAATTATTCAACCAATGCTTTTCTAAAGATTAGTTATTTATCAACATTAATAAACCAGAACACTCCTCCATATTCTCTGCACAGTACTTAGGTGCACTATTTCCACTACTGTTTCCCAGGGTGAATGTTCTCCCAGCTATCTCCATAGTGTCACTAGTGCTTGCTCACTTGCTCCTTAGAATCCCCTATAATTTTCTAAGTAGCATTTCATGTATTTCTCTGGTCTCATTTCTACTACTTAATTGCAAGACTCTCAAAAGAGGCAACAGTACCTTACTCATCTTTACACTCTCAGAACATCTGCATAGTGCCCTGCCCAGGAGTCTTAATGAATTTTAATTAAATGTAACTTATATCTGATTCCAATTTTAAGAAAGTATAAATACAGAACTAGAGGAATTGTGAGACAGTAATTTCAAGCCTAGTTACAAATCTATTCATGCCCAACTAGCATTTGAAAAATGCTAAAATGTTAAATCTGAAGTAACAAAGACTCCTGGTAAAAGATAACTTACTTAAAAATGAAACTAATTGTTTAAAAAACTCTGCTGCAATAGGTTCTTTCTTTTTTTCTTTTTTTTTTTTTGGTACTGGGAATCGAACTCGGGTCCTTGTGCTTGCAAGGCAGGCAGCAGAATCACTGAGCTAAATCCCCAGCCCTGTAATAGGTTCTTGATGGCATTAAATTATTTTAAAGAGAATAAGGACAGAAACCTAAGATACACAAACTATTTGAAACTTGTTTCAATTTTCACTTAAGTGAAATTCTGTATCATTCAGAAAGTATTTATTGAGTGCCTGTGCACAGTTCTGTACTTAGATATCAGGGATACAACGACATAAAAGCCTTCCTATCAATAAATTTACAACTAGTCAGTAACAATTAACTTATCATTGTAAGTTACTTAATATCATTATTAGTGTTAATGCCAGGGACTGACCCAGGGTCCGGTGCATGCTCTACATATGCATGTGCTCTACAACTGCGCTACACTCCCAGTTCCCTACGTACCTGTTATCAGCCACTTGCAGGAGGTCTGCGATGTAAGGGTCATCTGGCTGTGGAACTGGATAGGAACTGACTTCAGAGGGAGGAGCTGGCTCGTCAATTTGCATACGCTGGCGTCTGAATGCAATGCTTCTTTTCTTGCCACCTTAAAAAAAAAAGTGTGTCTTAAAAAATTAAGAAACAAAACACTATTAAATTAAATATTTTAGGGCAGCTTTTGTTATAAAGTGAGTGTCTAGGTCACATTACATATTGATAAAATAAATTTCCCTTACATGTAAAGACTCACCCTGACTCATATTCCTGAGTTCAATAGGACATGGCTATAAAACAAGGTTTCCATGCCCACTTGCTTGGCATATGTGCTGATTTAATCTCTTCCTCCTCTAGATGAGGGTTAGGCTTTGGTATGGTTAGAAGCTGAGTGTGCCTTGCGGTGTTCACTATTATGAGTTTAAGAAATCATCTTTAGCAGGAAATTGTCAGTAAAGAGCTTACAGCAGTAAAAACCAAATTACACATGCTTATTAAGCAATGTCAAAAGATCAGATAATCAAAATTTTAAATAGCAAAATTAGAATATAATGGAGTATTACCTGTACCACAAAGTCATGCTACAACCTCAATTAGTAGGCAATACTTTAATGGTACGAATAGCAGAAGTAATTTTTTTTTTCTCTCATTGAGTTTATTGGTACATTTTAGGTATACAGTACAGTTACATTCATCATTGGGATCTTGTACCTTTACATGACAGGTCTTGGTTCTCATTTTTTCCCCTTGTTCATTGTGAGTTTATTGGTACATTTTAGGTATACAGTACAGTTACATTCATCATTGGGATCTTGTACCTTTACATGACAGGTCTTGGTTCTCATTTTTTCCCCTTGCAGTAATTTTTTTCATAGATAGACTGATCTTGCTTTGGTCTAAAACACACTGACAATTTATCTTTTAAACATCTGGCCAGGATTAGAACTGTACTTGACAAAACCAATAGATCCTTATGAAGAAAAATACTTAATATTAACTTCATGAGGATTCTAACAAATGTTGTTTTGAGAAGGACTGACCTACCTGGAGTTTGTACTACAGCATGCAAATTCTTTTCTTGAAGTTGTTGAATTTTTTCATTTTTAGCTTTACTCTCCTTCTCCAAAAGTTTGAGTTTGTGAATATATTGGTTATTTAGAAACTTCAGATCTGCTGTTTCACGTGTACATTTCTTCAATGTAGTTTTCAACTCTTAAAATGAAAAAGATTTAAAAAAAAATTTTTTTTTTTTTTTTTGCTCTTGTTTTGTTTTTGAGACAGGGTCTCACTATATAGTTCAGGCTGGTCTTGAACTCTATGTGGCTGGCCTTGAATTCACACTGATCCTCTTGCCTTACCCTCCTGAATGCTGGTATTACAAGCAAGTGCCACCACACTTGGCTTCAAAACACTATTTTATTTTTGGTTTTTGTTGTTGTTGTTGTTGTTTTTTTGGTTTTGGTATAGGGGATTGAACTCAGGACCTTGTGCTTGCGAGGCAGGTGGCGGAAACACTGAGTTAAATTCCCAGCCCAAACACTATTTTAAAGACTAAGAAATCTACGAAGTTTTTCCATTTCACAAATGCTATGGCTTATATCTAGATGTTTCACCAAATCTTCATGCACTCATAGGTGGGGCTCTTGGGATGTGACTAGATCATGGGTGTGTGATACTGGTTAGTTCACTGATAGGTTTATAGTTAGGCGGGTGTGATGTTGGGAGGTGAAGCCTGGTGGGAACAAGTGGATCACCACAGGCATGGCCTAGAAGGGAATTATTATACATTGCTCTTCCTCCCTGGATGCTGCTGCTTCTTGCTTGTCATGTCCCTCTGCCTTGGAGGGAGGCATTGAAGCCAGCTTACTACAGACCGCAACCTCTACAAATTGCAAGCCAAAATAAACCTTTTCTTCCTTAAATTGTGGAAGTCAGATATTGTATCTGAGCAATGAGAAAAGTTGCTATACGACTATCATCTTTCCTAATCCAAATTTTCAAAATAAGACTTTAGTCTTTCTACATATAAAAAAGATGGGAAAATATTGCATTTTAGAAATTAATATATTTTCATTTACCTTTAATATTTTGTTCTGAACATTCTCTCAGTTTCATTAACTCCAGGTATAATTCATTATTTTCTTTACTCAGTCTTGCATTTTCAAGTTTATAGGGCTCCAAAACAAAATCAAAATTGGCACTTTCCTTTTCAGCTTTCACAGAAGATAACTTTGACTGGCGAAGGCTTTCTGTTGTATGAACCAAGTCACTAAAATTGAAGAACAGAAAATATAAATACAAGGAAACATTTTATTAATCTTCTAATAATATAAAGAATACTTTTAAAATGCTTAAAATATATCTTAATGTTAAATGATATCAAATTTTAAAGAATGAATACTAGGGTTCTTTCAAGGTATTAGGAGAGCCTAAACAATTTCTCATAACAAAACTAAATGTATTTATAAAATACATGTACATTGAATTATCTTCAAATCTCCCATCTTGCTCATCCTCCAGGTCTGTAGAATCTATGAAATTTATTTATTCACTGAGCAAAAATTTATTGACTTGCTATATGCTAAGCCTCAGAGACACAGTAGAAAAGCATCAGTCCCTTACCTCTAAGGACACAGACCTGTGAAACATGACCCACTAAATATGTATTGCGGAGGACACACAAAAAGGTCCTCACCATTATAAAGCTTGTCTTCTATAGTCTGTCAAAAAGACATAAAATTATGTGATAAACTCAACCAAATCTTTAGAGCTACTATATATTCAACTGCAGGGGTCAGAGTCTGTGGTCTCACAAAGTCTGCATCTAGAGGAAGACAAAAACAAGTCTGCAATAAAAATGCACATTAAGGATAAAGCAAGAGATGTGCAAGTCACAGAGGACCCATGAACTTGGAAGCTAAGCAGGCAAAAGAGCAAGGGAAGGCGAGGAGAAAGGGACACCAAGGCAGGCGAAGAGCACAGGGAGAGAGCAACAGCAAGTACACACATGAGCTCAGGAAGCTTCAAGGGATTCATCGTGCACACACGGGCGATGAGGCTGCAGGCAAAAGCAGGCACTGGATCATGAAAGGTCTGGGAGGCCACATCAAAGAAAATAAAACATCTTCATTCATTTTCTCCTTTCCAATATTATTACCTGTAGATCCTACTACAAAATCCTCCTAAACACTTTCCTGCTCAAATTTCAAACTACTCTAATATAATTCTTATGAAAAAGAGAAAAATAAATCACATAGAACCTTTCACTTGAGGCAATATATGATAGCAGTGATCAACATGTGAGGTTTATCAAAACATATGAATGTTTAAAGTTAAAAATATCTATTACAGTAAACACTATATGGCCATTAATCTCCTTCAAAATACTCCCCTTCCTCCTCCCACCGTTCTTGCCACTTTCCGTAGAAGTCTGGAAGTCTTCATTCATGAGTGTCTTTATTTGCATTTGTGGCTGCCTTCCTATCCAGAATCAATTCAAAACATTTACCATTCATGTTTTGATTTTAGAGAAGAGCTGCTTGAAACAGAGCCAGTTCTGGTGAGTAGATGGGTGGGGGACACACTGTTTTTTCCAGTCTGCCTTTGCAGTGGATGGCACTTGGCAGCAGCAGTTGCTGTTGTCCTCATAGACACGAAAGAGGACTTCCAGGTTTGCCTCCGAAGTGAAAAGAATGATGGGATTTTTGATCCCCATTACTGGAGAGAGAAAAAAAGTATCTCCAAACTAATTCTATTCACAGAAACTCTCAAAATGTTTACTCTGAATATAGTGTGAATGGTGACTCCTGGAGCTTTGCAATATGCAGACCCTGGACCGAGGATAGGGGAATTAGAATCAGAGGATGAGAGATAAGCTTCAGATGATTTAACGACTTTTAAAGTCTGCTCATTTCTTTAAGGAAGCAAGAAGTTCAATCAGAAACCAGACAAGTGGTTTAGGGGGGTCACAAATCAGAACTGGATTTGCATCTTTACCTGAACAGCTTTTCTACCAAAGGTAAACACTCGACTGTCAGGGTCTGGCGGTATCCCAGCTGATCCAATCTTTTTCTAATATTAATATACTTCCTCTCTGCAGCTGTTGTCATCTTGACTTTCAAAGCCAGTTTTACTCACTTCCAAAACCTAAAGTCCTAAAACAAAAGAATGATTACTACAACGACTGTTGTTGTTTCATAATAAAAAGAAGAGATTCTTTTAATATGAAACAATCATCTTCTGTTTCTCTTCATTTAGGCAGTCTTTTGGAATATTTACATTGATTTCAATTCTTTGCTACATTCTCCACGTTGTTGCATTAAAATATGATCTCTTCATAAACCAATGTAAAAGTTAAAATAATAAAGATTATAGAAAAAAATAAGATTTTTCAGAGCCTGAAGTAGGAAGATAATTCTTTGAGGGGACTCTTGTAAAAGCACATAACATAAAAGCCAACAAAATTTTTAAGACAAATTTGATAAAATGGATTGCACTGAAATTAAAAACATCTGGTCAATCAAAATACTCTTTTAAACAAAAACACAAACCAAAGAGTGCCTGAAAATACAATAGTTGAGAAAGGTTTTTTATGTGGAATATAAAATGAGTTCATAACTCAGTAAGACAAACAACCCAATGAGAAAATTTAGGCTAAAACTAAAACTTAGTTGTGCTAAAGACACAAACAGCTACCTTGCAAAAAAGCACCTGAAGAGGAACAGTACATGAAAAGGGTGCTCAAGATAAGTCATCAGGGAAATTCAAATTAAAACCATTATGAAGTAGGGCCAGGGATTTAACTCAGTGGTTCTGCCGCCTACACTACAAGTGCAGGGACCCAAGTTTGATCCTCCATACAAAAACAAAACAAAACAACAACAAAAACACTACAAGGTATAATTTTGTCCATTCTAGAATGACTAAAGCTAAAATCCCAAAGATTTGGAACAGTAATTACATGAAAACAAAGACCTACAAAACAATGTTCATAGAAGCTTTATTCATAATAACTACAACCTGGAAACAATCCAAATGCAGAAAATCAACCCCAGAAGCAATTAACTATGATAGAAGTATTCACTGTAATACTATTCAGGGAAAATGGGGGACAAACTACTAATACATTCCAAAAACATGGATGAAATGGATGAATCTCAAAAATTTTGCATGAGCAAAAGAAGCCAGACACATACATGATTTCATGAAATTAAAAGTCTGACAAAACTACTATGGGAAAGAAATTAGCCCAACAGTCACCCAGAGAGGGAGAGATTGGCTGCAAGGGTTAGGAACTTTCTAGGGTGATAAAAATACTGTGGTCTGAGGTAATGGTGTATACAGTTATGGAAGCTTTTCCAATACTCAGCATGCAAATTTCACTTCACTTTTAAAAAAAGGAACGTAAGTACTTGTGTACACACTTTAAACTTGTCTAAGTATTTATAACTATATTCTTTACCAATCTTCCCTAACATGGAGTTATCCAAAGATCAATTCTTTAGAAATTTTGTTCTTTTCTAAACTTTGCTAACTAAATGTAGTCAAGGGTATTCATGGTTCTAAAACAAATAAAAGGTTTTTGGTTTGTCTGTGTGTTTGTTAGTGAGGCAAGGTCTTGCTATGCATTCAGGCTGGCCTTGAACTCACTATGTAGCCCAGGTTGGCTGTGAAATGATAGTGCTCCTCTAGCATGCACCAGTTCTACTCCCAGGACCGCCGAGCAGGGGGTGAGGGGTGGTATACAATTCAGTCCCGAGCTTTTGCAAGACTTACTGCTTTTCAGAATATCCTGAAGCCAGTTTCTCCTCTCTGTATTTCAAGCAAGAGACTTCAGGAAGCTGCAATAACCTTCTAAAAGAAATTGTGCCTACACAGTGACTGGTTCCCCTTACTTTGAATTCCTTAAATTCAAGATTTCCTTGACTTTGTTTTCCTTTCACTTCTGAAACTAGCACAAGTTTCCCTTGAGATCTAACAAAAGTTTGGTCCTTTCCACCCATCCCTCCTGGTCACCACAAAACCTTTTAATATGCAGCATACCTATAAAACTTCTAATTACATTGCCCAGCTGGATCTGCCACCCACCACCAACACCAAGCAATCCTGCAAAGGATAAAAGGCAAATGGCACCTTCTGTATTTAAAGGCAAGAAAGACTTGCCTTGAGAAAAAGTTACACAGCCGGGTGTGGTGGCGCACGCCTGTTATCCCAGCACTGAGGAGGCTGAGGCAGGAGGATCGCTGTGAGCTCAAGACCAGCCTGGGCTATACAGGGAGTTGCAGGTCAGTCTCAACTATACAGTGAGACCCTGTCTCGAAAAACAAAACAAAACAACAACAACGACAAAAAAAACAAGAAAAACTTACACAAACCACAAGGCTACCAGTAGATCAGCAGCCATGGAACGCCATGGTAAGCCAGGTCGCCCTGAGTCCTGCCCAGCCCTCGGATTTCTGTACTTACCAAATCACTTCTAAATTATACTACCTCTCCTTGGTTACTTCTTCCTACATTCTTTCTCTTGGCCTGTGCTGGGCTCTCCTCTGAAAGGCTTTCCCTGGGGCTTTCTAGGTTCCTTCCGTAAGAGGGATGGTCTGATGCCTGGTGTTTTAGGGAAACTCCTAAAGACATCAGAAACACACTTGACAAATTCAGACTAGTAGGGTAGTGTGAACATTTCACCGCTTTGTTGGCCACTAACTCTTGTTCACCCAGAAATAATTTCTCTTCACATCTTGCTCTGGGATACAGGACAGGAGAGAATGAGAATAAAAATGAGTCAAGGGCTGGGGATTTAGCTCAGTGGTTCTGCCACCTGCCTTGCAAGCACAAGGTCCTGAGTTCGATCCCTGCAACAAAAAAAAAAGTCAAAACATCATGGCTAGGGGAACAGTACATAAAAATACATTAAAATCCTCCCATGGAAGACAAAAAATATGTACAGGGCCGGGGATTTAGCTCAGCGGTTCGGTGGCCTGCCTTGCAAGAGCAAGGACCCGAGTTCAATCCCCAGTACCAAAAAATAAAAAATAAATTTAAAAAAATATATATATAAATATGTACAGTATTATGCTTTCTCAGCCCATGGTATTCCCCATACCCTAGACTGAAGCACTGTGGCTATACTCACAAGGCTTTAGCAAAGCAAAAGCAAACACACAAGGCTAAATTTGGGAAATCCCACATACATATCTGCACGTTTAGAACTATCCAACTATTTAGACCTGGAGGGTTGACAGCTGAAAACGGGTGCATCTTATTTATACGTAAGGGCTTAAAAAACAAAACCAAACAACAACAGAAATCCATTAACTGAGGTTACCCCAGTCCTTTCTTATTCAACACAGCGGAGGCTGGAAAGCAGATAGGACGTTTTCCAAGGTGCTGGGCAAAGGCGCTTTGGGGCGCTAGGGTTCTTTCAAAGACAGTGCATTTTAATTTTAAATCCATCGACCCACTGTGCGACCGTCTCCCCGGGCCCCATCCCAGTACCGGCGCGGCGGACCGGAAGGGGCGCGGGAAGCAGGCCGAGGG